CCCCCCCTCTTTTGTCTCATACCCTTCTAGAATTATGCTCTCTCTCCCAGCCTGTTTGTACATCGATAGCCTGTCTTCCCTTATGCCTAACCATCCAAAAGACTTGTCTGAAAAATGTTTCCACGAGCGGAAAGCATCTAAGAAAGCGGTAAAAAAACTAGAAATTTGGCATCAGACGAGGGACTCGGATTTGAGTTTTCAACGTTAGTTGCGTCGTTTAACTTCAAGTATTGTTTCCTTATATTAATACAGTCCACTTGGAAATCGGATTATACAAATTCATGTTCCTGCTATCAAAATGTATCCAATGAATTTATACATTGCTGATACCCCCAATCGTCATGAGTGGTTTACGGTAAGCGAAGAAATAATTCCTGACCGACACTTTGAAATCCAATCTTGAAATAAGCAGCGATGTTTATTAATGCAAACAAGAAAAGAACAAAAGGACCAAGGATGACTAAAGCAGAGGCAAAAATGTGAGTTTATAGACAATTTTGCATTCATGTAAACTCTAATTACTAATTTCACAAGCATTATATGCACAAACTTAAAGACAACTCTAATAAGAGGGATATTTTGAATACCCTTTCTTACATCCATGGAGATGACGTACAAAACCAGTCCTATAAAGGGATGTAAGTATCTAAAGCTTCATATTAGCCTTGGATAAGACGAAAACCTTCTCTTGATTTGTGTCATACATTAAGCTTCAAGTCGGTTTGCACGCCTTAGTCGGAGTCCTACATCAGCTTCTCGGTCGTGTCGAATTAAACCACTGGCCTCAAAATTAGAGTCCTGCATTTCAGATGATGTCCCAGATTCATTTTGCTTCTCCACGATGGCTTCTCCAAAGTTATGAAGCCTACGACCAATTAGATACCGGTCATCCCGTATAGAGTTGTGAAGGTTGGTGAACCAGACATGGAATCTCTTGGCACAAAAGCACAGCAGGCTAAAGCAAAGGCACCCCAGCCAAGCAAACCGATAAACTGCTGAGTTGACCACTAATGGGTAGCCGAGAACAGGAAATAACCCTCTGGCAAGTACATAAGGCACACACAGGGCAGTCAACAACTTCATTATGATTGGAAATACAATCTCGCGAAGCACCCATAGACCTTGCAGCCTGGAGAAACCATCTTCCCTCACTCTTTCAAACTTTACTCGCCAGCTTTCATCTACCAGTGGCATCATGTGATCCAACATAACCTGCAAAGTACAAAACAAGTACAACCATAAAGACCTAACTCCCCAGTGGATAGAAAATCCTCAACATAAAGAAGTCCAACAAAATATGCAACTCATTATTTTATAGGACCGCTCACCAGTCTAGTCCATATCTTGAGAAAAATAAGTCCTAATGCCCAGTCCTGATAAAGCAGGAATACTGGGCTTTCATCAACAGGCACGCGCATCGGCACAATCACCAAAAGCTCAAAGAGCAGCCCAATCAATACCGGAATGATAAAAATCTGGAACAATAACAATATGTCAGCATTTTATATACAAACCTGATACAGAACACTGATTCCTAGGAATAAAAAACCATATGATTCTTACCCATATTGACAAAAGTACAGAACTCTTGATAACAATGGCACACCACTTCCAGATATGGCCCAACAGAACTGCAACCCTTTTTGTTCTAATATGCTCGATGGAATATCTAACTCCAGCTACAGCGGTCCATATTATGTAGCTTCCAATGATGAAAGCGTACAAATCTAAATAATAAAAAATGGTAAAAAGTTCAACATTCTGATCTCAGAAATATGAAGCATAACAATCAGAAAAGAATTTACCATTGCACTTGATGCCATGAGTTATGGGGAGAAAAGGAATGACATTGAAAATCGCCCTTCCAAGTGAGGTTGGTACAACTATCAAGGCAGAGTTGAATACAAGTAAAGTCATCCAAGCCACCACCAACAAGAGTACAATGCGAAGCACAAAGCTGTATCGTCTGAAAAACAGAGGGAAAAAGAGGTAAAACCAGTTAAGATAATCAAATAAAACAACACACTATTTCAGATGCAATAGAAAAAAGACAAATGATGGCATGACTTAAAATCGTGAACTAACAACAGCTGCATTTATGAATGTTCAATATCAAAGTGGAAATGCAAACCAGGAAAATTAAGACCAGATAGCACATTAAGGACAATTTTTGAAATAAATCCTGCGATAATCAATTTGTAAGGATTCTCTCAACTTACTCAGAATCAGATTGTTCATCTGTGTCATACTCTTCTGCGACATTTGAGTCCCCTGATGCAAGAATGCTTCCATTTGGATCACCACCACCTGGAAGTGCCACCAAAGCCTGGTCCTGTACCCCCAGTTGAACCTCTACTCTATCCTGTCTTCCTGGCTCTGCATTTCCATTTTCCTGAGCTGCACTGTCCTCAGGTCTGGGCAGCAAGAAATCAGTTAAACCAAGTGCCCAGCCAACGGCCGTAAACCAATAACGGAGGAGGGATTTAATCGTTGTCCTTAATTTAAAATGCTCAATGGCAAATGGAATGCATATTTGAAAAAGAAGCATGTCCGCAGGAATTTCAGTAAATGGATCAGATACCCTGCCAAAGGGGAAAAACAAGGTGCATGTTAGCTAACAATATAAAATATCAACAATAAAACTGCAGTTGTGGAACAATAAGTGCCACTGAAACATTGAGGGTCATCTTACGAGATGTCAAGAGGAAAAATGGAGGGTGCCATCCGCATAGCTAATTTAACTGGTAAAAACACCAGCATCACAATTAAACTCCCATAAACCGCAACAGATAACAGGACCCTGCGAGCGTGTTTGTGCACAGGATCATCAATAAGATCACGGAAGGGATTGTAGTTTGGATCAGCGGGATCTCTAAGGAAATAAAGAACTCCATTACGCAGAACCTGCAGACAGAAGCATAGGAAAAAAAAACATGTAAAATTGGTGTTTGGAAAAACATATTGACCAATATGATAACATGGCAAAGAACAATACCCCTCGAAGAAGACTGACGAATATACTTATTTGTAGCATGTATACAATTCCTACAACCCAATGGACCAGTGAGCTGGCTAAAGGAGACGCTGAGAAAAATTGAACCCTGTGAGACATCGACTTCCCAAACATCCTTATAGTACATACATCTAGCCACCATCCACACATCAATGGAAACACCCCCAGTTCAATAACTAGAAGGAAAGCAACCTTAATCATTGTCATCAAATGCCTCATTGCTGCCAAAAACTGCCTGAAGAGAGATGGAATTGTCTCTGCCATCGAAGCAATACCATAAAACCTTCCCATAGTCAATGGCTCACCCCTAGTGTACCGAATCAAAGCAACAATGCCAAGGTAGAAGAAAACTAGGGAGAAGATAAACATGTATCCAATAGCAAGAGTTGTAACATCAGAGAGCCTTGAAGTTCCAAGTGTTGCCCCTTTCAAGAAGTCTGCTGAAAGTGGTGAACTTACATTGTTTGAAACCTCATTTAGTCCACTCATGTTCACTTTCAAGATCTCTGCAACCTGGTCAACCATGCCACTTTGTTGGCTTTCAGATGATGCATTCGTTACAGCAGTTACTGCATTCTTCAATGTCACATTTGCCAAGGAAAGGGCTGATTCTGTGAGTGGCACGACTGTTGACAAAACTGGACCACTAGCAGTGGAGAAAAGCCAGGATAAATGATAGAGTATAATCCGACCTAATGAGAAAGGCACAAAGATTACTACACCAAGGAATATCATATTGCTGGCCAGAACCTGCGGAGAGAAATGGAGCCATTCAACATATTAATACAAATTGAATACAAACAAAACCCTTAACTGTTAATACAACATAGACTCTTAAATCAAAAACTACCACTGAGAGTCAACCTCAACCAAATAGCGCACACACATACAGATACATAATAAGACAAGAATTAGTTCAACCATAGTTGTCAAAAGAATCAGAAACGACGACAAAAACCTGGAAAAAAGAAGAAGAGAGAAATGACGCAAACATAAAAATATATGAAAAGATTAAGAGTACAAGGAGAGCAACTAAGACAAGAGTGTAAAACTGGAGAAACAGTATTTAATTATGCTAGCGTAATTCAAAAAGGGTGGAGGGAGCACCAACAAAAGACAAAGAAAACACAACTTACAGTGAATGCATTTTCAACTAAGTGAAATACGGGTCCCTGCATGCCAACGAGCTCATCAAACGGTACATCCTCTGCCCCATCAGCATCATCCAAACCATCAAACATCTGTTCAACATGAGCTTCAAGACGAGCTGCCTGCATTTCCCATCGAGCAGCAACGTTTTCTGCATTCCTTCTAATCATTAGACCTGCTCCAGCAATCCCTTGTGCCCCAGCAGCATCTTCCCCATTTGCATCACCAACAAAATTCCTGTTAGCTTGTCCAGGAGCTCTTCTTGCAGCACGAGCACCATTTCTTTCCCCTTCATCTTCTCTGTCAGCATCCTGTCCTCCAAGCTCACGTAAATGCCTGAAATAATCTCTCAGAGAAGTGGCTCCGAGAAAAATAAACACGATGCTAGCAGAAAGTAGGAACCCATGCAGACAATCAGTGAGGACGACGGTAGTGGATAAATGACTTAGGAATAGTCTCTGAGCATCACCAAAACTCCTCACAAAAGCCAGCCGCCATATCCAAAATGTAATAAAAGGTATAATGAGGAGCCAAACAGAAAGCACAAAACTAAGGCGCAGAAAAAATTGCAGAACATGGCATGTTTTCATTGCCATC